CTTCGTCCGTCTCTTTCTCCTCGTCCCTGTTCCTTCAAGTGAAAGGGGGGACTCCCCAAACTCCTCATAGGATTCCTCTCTTCGTGGGTAGCTCACCCTTAATGGGCTGGCTTCAGCCCATTCTTAAGCCCCACTTCTCTTCCTTTTCCTATCTTTCTTTACGGACAGCCTTCCTTTGACCGGCCCGGTATATTTTATCAAGGCCGGACACTCCTTTTGATGGACGGGGTCCCGATTGGGCTTAGGCCCAATTTGCCACATTCCTCTCGATGGGCTTGGTTCCCATCACATGCCCCTTTTTTTACAAGTCAAAAAATAAAATTTTTTGACTGTAGTCTTCCCTGCATGCCTTATTGGGAAAGTTTTTTTTTTTGCATGCCCCTTGGTCTGTCCTTCTGCTGTCTGGTCATGCGAGCAGTCCCTGAACATCAATAATGATGGATTGTTGACAGAGGAATAGATTGGGCGTGGACTGCGTGTATGGGAAAAACACATTTAGGGAATGGACCGTTGGGAGTCCGTGCCACTTTAAATATCCATGGCCTACATTCCCTTAACTGCTGCACTGGACCGTTTGACTGCGTACAATTCAAGGTCCCTACTCATCTATGATTGTGGGACCGTAACAGAAAAAAGGAAAGCAACAGAGGACCGCAGATCTGGGAAATCGGCAGAGTGGGCCGTTTGGAATTAGTACCCCTGACCCGAGTCCAAGGTTGCAATTCCCTTTTCCATGTGTCCCTTCACTGCCATTGGACCGTTTCGGAACAGGTGCCGTTCAAATTCTTGCCGTTGCAAAGGAGCATTGAGGGAGGGCCGTTTCTTCTTCCTCTTCTCTTTCTCTATAAAACTGGTCCCTCTCCCCTCTCCTTCCTCACGTTTACACACAACTCTCCACTTCCCTTGCTCTTATCCCTGCCGAATTACCCTCTCTCCTTCCCAAGACTTTCACTCTCTCTCACCATGAAGAAGACCATCTCCAAGGTCTCCAAGATCTTCAACGGCAGTAAGAAATCCAAGGAGGACGAGAATGTCTCCTCCATCACTCATGCGCAATTGGGGGAGATGAGGGGAGTCATTCCTCCTGATTATGGCGTCCAGGAAGCCACAGGTACTACTTTGGAGCGCAATCCTGACACCTCCCGCCGACTGGTCGTCCACTACGACTCGGTGAGGATGGGATGCCGCTTTCCTCTCCATCCCCTCTTGATCGAACTTTGCAACCGCTACGCCATACCTCCCGGTCAG